AATAATTGAAACAAAATCTCCCCAGATCTTCCTAGCTCTAGAATCCTATGATTCTATGATATGTCTACTTTTCTGTTTTTTTTCTGATTTTACTGACCTAATCCATTTAATAAATATTTGCATGCCTACCTTGTGTTTGTTTATAACTTGTAGGTATGTGAGGAAACCAGAAGATACAGAAATCGTAGAAGCCTTTGAATTGTTGATAATCTTATCTGGAGAAAAGAAGTATGTCCAGTCTGTTTCTTCTCTGTCCAGAGCAGATCTTTTTTTTTCTTTAATATATTCTTCTTCTTTTTTAAGATTTAATCTAATTTGATTTTGTTGTTGTTGTTGGTCATGGGGCTTGAATTTAGTGCCTGGGTACTGTCCCTATGCTCTTTTGCTCAAGAGATAGCACTTTACCACTTTGAACCACTTCCAGTTTTCTGGTGATTAATTGGGTTTAAGAGTCTTGTGGATTTTTCTGCATAGGCTGGCTTTGAACTGTGATCCTCAGATCTCAGCCTTCTGAGTAGCTAGGATTACAGAAGTTTGCCACCAGCACTAATTTAATTTTCTATTGCTATTGTTAAAGTGATGTACAAATGGGTTACAGTTACATAAGTCAGGTAAAGTACATTTCTTTCTTTTGTTCTTTCTTCCTTTCTTTTCTTTTCTTTTTTTTTTTTTTTTGTCAGTTGTGGGGTTGAACTTGGGGCCTGGGTGCTGTCCCTCAACTCTTCGGTGCAAGGCTAGCACTCTACCACTTGAGGCACAGTTCCACTTCTGGCTTTTCTGCTTATGTGGTACTGAGGAATCTAACCCCAGGCCTCATGTATGCAAGGCAAGCGCTCTACCACTGAGCCACCTTCCCAGCCCTAAAGTACATTTCTTTTTCTTTAATTTTTTTTTTAATTATGAAGGTTTTGTACAAAGGGCTTACAGTTACATGTCAGGTAATGAGTTCATTTCTTTTTCTTTAATTTTATTGTTATTGTAAAGGTGATGTACAAAGGGATTACAGTTACATAGTCAGGTAATAAGTACTTTTTTTTTTTTAGTTTTTGCAATGTCACCCCTTCCCTTACTCTCTTCCAGTTTTTCCCTCCCATCCCCGCCCACAAGTTATATAGGTCATTTTCAACATAGTTTCTAGTGAGTACCATTGCTGCATTTGGTTTGTTCACTCTTTGTCCCTCCATTTCTGTGTCCCCTACTCACAAAGACAGATAAACAAGACAAAAAGAAAAGAAAAAAAACCAGCAACAAAGAAAAAAACCAGTTTTCATTTCCTTGAGTTCATTTCAATAAATATTTTATATGATCAGATGCACATAGGCATTTCACTTTTGTGTTCCTCTCCCAAGAGCATTCTCTTTTGGTCTCACTGTGTGTGAATGCCTAGAGAAGATCCATATTCTTAATAGTAGCCACTTTACTTCAACTAAGTTTCTAGATGAAAGGCATAGTCCCTTTGGATAAAATTATAAATTCTTTTTTTGTGTGTGTATGTGCCAGTTCTGGGGCTTGAACTCCAGGTCTGGGCACTGTCCCTGAGCTTTTTGTTTAAGGCTAGTGCTCTATCACTATGAGTTCTTTTTAAAAAATTAATTTACCTTACTGTTATTATAGAGGTAATATACAGAGGGGCTACATTTACTTGAATCAGGTAATAAGTGCATTTCCTTTTGTACAGTCATCTATTCCCTTATTTTCTCCCATTCCCCATGAGTTTATAGTTCACTTTCATCAGTGTCCTGTGAGTACCACTGCTGCAGTTTTTTACCCTTTTTCCTTGGATTGTGTGCCTTCCTCCCAATCTCCTACAGATAATATACGTGAATATACTGTATATAAGGTAAAGCATACAGAATCCTTAGCAATAGAAAAAACAAATTAAGAAAAGAGTCCTTTTTATGTTATACATCTGGGAATCTCCATTCTAGTTGTTCTGTAACACTGTTTATGTTGTCCATTTGTTCCATTCCAGATAGGAAAATTTATCTCAAAACTAAGAAACTGCTGGATGCTGGTGGCTCACGCCTGTAATCCTACCTACTCAGAAGCTGAGATCTGAGGATCGTGGTTCAAAGCCATCCCGGTCAGGAAAGACCGTGAGACTCTTATCTCCAAAAAACTACCAGAAAACCAGAAGTGGCACTGTGGCTCAAGTGGCTCAAGTGGTAGAATGCTCCCTTGAGCTGAAGAGCACAAGGACAGCACCCAGGCCAAGAGCCCCACAACCAACAAAAAACAAAACAAAACAAAACTAAGAGACTGTTCTTTATTATGATTTAGTAGCTGAAAATTATTGGGTGGATTTTTTTTTTTTTCCCGGTCATGGGCCTGGGCGCTGTCCCTCAGCACTTCAGCTCAAGGCTAGCATTTTACCACTTGAGCTACAGTGACATTTCCAGTTTTCTGAGTGTTTTTTTGGAGATAAGAATCTCACAGAAGCCAGGCGCTGGTGGCTCACACCTGTAATCCTAGCTACTCAGGAGGCTGAGATCTGAGTATCACGGTTCAAAGCCAGCCCAGGCAGGAAAGCCCGTTAGACTCTTATCTCCAATTAACCACCAGAAAACCAGAAGTGGTGCTGTGGCTCAGGTGGTAGAGCGCTTGGTGAACAGCTCAGGAACAGCACCCAGGTCCAGAGTTCAAGCCCCACAACTAACAAACAACAACAACCAAAAAAAATCCTAAAAAGCAAAAGTCCTATGGTTATGGCTCAAGCACTCAAATGCTTGCCTAGAAAGAGAGAGTGTGTGTGTGTGTGTGTGTTCAAAAGACCAATTCTATGCACAGGTTCTGCCACACTCAAAAGAATTTTTTAGTAAGTCACCTTTTTTGCTTTGCTTTCTTTGATTATAAAATGAAGGATTAGATTGATGACAATAAGATCCTTTCCCCTTCAAATGTCAATTATTCCTGTCATTTAAAAAATAAATCAGGGAGTTAGTGTTTTAAAAGAGAGCTGTCAAATTATGCATACATGCTTTGGTTAGTTTTGCTTTTAGTTTTTTGCTTGAGGGTAAAAAGTATGGTTCCAAAGTTGCTTGAAATACAAGTAAGCTTCCCTTATAAGTTCAAGTTCTTTCCCACATTGTCCATCAGTTTAGGTTATAAAACTTACTTTTAAAATCTCAAGTTTTCTTTGGCCAGATTAAACATTTTTTCTTTGTGTCAGTTTACTGTTAAAAATGATGAACAAATACGATTTCTTTACTCTCCCCGTCTCTCACTCTCTC